GGAGAAAAACATCATGCTTGGAAGGATGGAGGGACAGCACAAGAAAAGACAATGGATGAGATGGATTGACATAGTAACTGGTATAATAAGGGTAGATGTGTTGGAGACAATAAAATTGGCTGAAGATAGAGCAGGGTTCAGAACTGTTATACATAATAAGGTTGTTATGATTCACAAGTAGCTTTACAGCACTTAACAACAACAACATCCATAAATACGTGATGGATGATTTAGATGTTAGAAGTATACAAATCATGCTTGATGAATGTCACTAATTTTTATTGCTTAGTTGACACTTTGATGATTAAAACACCACTGAAATACATCTTAGAAATATATTTGAACATTTAATTTTCAGTACCATGCACACACACAATTCTGAAAACTCTGAAGATTACTCATAGGTCCCATTATAATAATACATTTAAATTAAAAAATCTTATTGAAAAATAGGCAGTTGGAAACTCACCAATCTTACACTGAAAAGAAAAGCCAAATATTTGTGGTAGTTAGTAACCATTATAAATAGATTTCTCAGGAGGAAATCCAACATGAGGTGAAATAATTCTGAAATAAAAGTTAACATTCTTTTTTTTATTAATATTCTTTTAAAAATGTGACATTATGAGGCCAAGTTAATTCATTATAGGTGAAGGTGTTAAATAGGTGTTCTCAGAATTTCATGTTTCAACTAAATCTTAAATTTGAGATTTTAGTTCATGATTGAAATTATTGTTCTTGAGGATATGAAAATGTTCTGTCTTTTCACATAAGCAGACTGTGAAAGATATAAGCTTAATTTCTCAAAACCAGTGAAATAATTCTTTAATATAATATTCCAATTTAGTAATAACAAACAACAAAAAAGCAAGTATAAACAATCTACAGGTAATATTTTCAAACTGTGATAAAAATGAGAGTACTCAAAAGAGCATAACCACCAATTAAGATGCGAGGGAAATGTACACAAATGAACAAAAGCAATCTTTCCCCCAAAAAAACAAAGGTAGTTCATCCTCTAAGCTATTGTTTTAGGCTCCTTCTTCTTAGGTGATTTTGAAAGTGGAGGTTTTTTGGATGCATTCCGTGGCCTGCTAGAGAATTCACTAAATTATACTTCAGGAGTTGAAGGGAATTGCGTGTACAGTTGTCTAACTTTGTTTGTAGAATTGGCCAAGATGTGTAATGCATATTTTGGTTGTCTTGAAGTGGAATATTGTGTTTGGAAGCCAAGATAATTGCGTAACGATTTCATTGCTCCCTGACTGATGAGCTGTGGCACATACATGAAGTTGCCATTGTACTCCCAGGAAGCAGCTCACAGCAGATCAGCGAGAGACACTTTCACACCTAATTGTATTCAAAGTTGACAATTTATCAGTAAACACTTTATTTAGGGCATAAGAAAAAGTATTTTTTTTCTGTTCTAGAAGTGACTTGCACATTTCTCAGTTATGCCTGTGGAGCGAGTATTTATTTAGGTCAATCAATACGGCAAAATATGAGAAATTTGAAGAAAGAATCTGTCACTATAAAAGATTAAGATCCTGGGGGAATGAAAAGTTTTATGGTTTTCATTCAAAAATTTTACTGAAAATGGTTACCATAAGGTATGTACATATTTCTATGTAATTAAATTGACTATGCAAATATGAGGGCATTAAAAAAAAAGGCCTCTGCACAGACAGCTGTAAAAAATTGTTACAAATTCTAGATAATCATACACAGAAACAAGTATGTTCTATGAGAGAAACAGTGGATGCAAACAGTAACTACTCTAAAATAAGAGATGGACATAGAGCAAATGTTAGAGTATTCAAGATTCTAGTAAAACCTTTAACATGGAATTAAAAGAGATGTGTTTTTAAAGGCAGACCTCCCTTTCTTTGTTCTACAGTCCAGTCCCCCAGTAATTCTTGATGTAAAGGAAGCCATTGCTTCAAAACTTGCTAGTTAAAAATATTGATATTTTTTTCTTTTCCTCTAAAAATAATAAAATAAGATCATCAGATCATAAAGATTTACAGTCTTGGGAACCATCTGGATGCAGACCTACTCCACCCCAGAGTGTCATTATGAGTTGGCAACAGGTTTATTTCATTAATTAATGTGGCGCCCTGGTAGCACTGTGGTTAGGGATGAGATGCTAACCAAATGGTCATAAGTTTGAAACCACCAGACACACAGCAAGAGAAGTATGTGGCAGTTTGAGTCCATAAATATTTACAGATTTGGAAATTCCAAGAAGTAGTTTTACTCTTTCATATAGGACTATGATAAGTCAGCATAGATTTGAAAACAATGAGTTCTTGGGGTTTTTTTGCTTGCTTGCTTGCTTGTTTGTCACCACCATTGTTGTTGCTGTTGTTATGTACCATTAAGTCGCCTGTAACTTACAATGTCCCTATGCACACTCTGCTCTATTCTGAGCCAATCTCACTGTCTCTGACACATCTACCACCATTATCCCAGTTACTGTGTGTCAATCCATCTCATCCGTAATTTTCCTCTGATGTGCTGTCTCTCCACCTTTCCAAGCATCATGTATTTCTCCAGGGACTGATTCCTCTTGGCTACTGACCCAAAGTTTGTGAGACAAAGCTCTAAAATCCTTGCCTTTATTTGATATTTCTTCAAAAATCTGAACATAGAAACAGAAATTCCATATGACCCAACTATTCCATGGCTTGAAATATACTCTGAGAAAATTAGAACTGAGGCACAAATGAAGATTTGTACACCAGTGTTCATAGCAGTGTTATTCACCATCGTAGCAACATGGAAACAGCCCAAATGTCCAACCACAATTGAATGGATTGAGAAAGTGTGGTACATTCACACAGTGGAATACTACACAGCACGCAGAAGCAATAATTTTAAAAATCACTTAAGAGGGACTGGAGAAAATTATGCTAAGTGAACTAAACATCATAAGGACAGATATAGTATAAGACCATTATTGCAGAAATAAAAAGATAACTAGTAAAATGTGGAGCTATGGTGGCCTAGTGGCAAGAAGCTGCACTGCAGTCTCAAAGTCATGTGGTTCAAGGCCACCAGCTGTTCCCTGGGAGAAGGATGGGCAATCTCCTCCCATGCGATTAACTGCCTCTGAAAATCCAGTGGAGGGCAAGCTATGGGTCAGTTCCCACTCAATGGTACACAACAACAGAAAAATGTGTATGAGGCTCCCAGGTAGGGAAGGCAGGAGTAGAGCGGTGACGATGGGCAAGGGAATAATCATAGGGTTGCACAATTTGTTGGTAGAGGAAGTGGTAAGTAAAGGAAATGGGAAAGATCTGGGTTGAAAAACAATGTGTACAAACTTTGTAAGCAAACCAGTATAAAATAAAAAATCTATTTAAAAAAATAAAAATCTTTGCCTCCAAGGAGCAGCTTGGTTCACCCTCTCCAGAACAAACCTGTTTGTTCTCTTGGAAGTTTATGGTATGTTCAATACTCTTCCCAGCCACCACAACTCAAAGGCATCCATCATTCTTCTGTCATCTTTGCTCATTGTCCAGCTCTCTGATGCATTAGCAAGTCATTGCAAAGACCATGGCCTGAATCAGGTGTACCTTAGTCTCCAGACTGACAACACTGCTTTTCAGCACTTGTGCGAGGTCCTTGACAGCAGCCTTCCCTAGAGCAATTCCTTTTTTTTAAAAAAAATATTTTTTTTCACTGCTGGTGTCAAGCTATCTTTTATTCAGAATGAAAGTCATATCATATTCCGGCATAAATAAATCCCTTTTCAATTGTTTTTGTAGCATCTCTAAAATTCATTAAACATCATCATAATAATGTTAGTTATTTAATTAATTCTGTATGCTTTGTGCCAAATATTTCACTAAGTACATTACATGTATATTGTCTGTTAGTGACCACAGAAAATTTATGTTTATATTTATATATGCATATATCTATATCTCTTGTTCTGTCAATATGCAAGGAACCATGCTGTTATCCAAAAGGCACACAGCTGGTCTGTGGAATAGAGGTACAGTTTCCTCTTGTGCAACTAAATTACCTCTGAAAAATCTGCTGGAGTGTCAGCTATGAGTTAGTTCTGACTTGATGGTACACAACACCATCATCTACCTATCTACCTAGATAACCAGTATGTGATGTGGTCATATCTGGAAAATAATGCAGGTAAAGTCATATCCAGATTTTACATTCCTGATTCTTTTTTTTTTTAATGTCCCCAAACCCATACCTTTATTTTTTCTTTTATTATTATTATTATTTTTTTTATGTGTGTACCGTCAAATTGGATCTGACTGGTACAGGAGGCAATTGTTCCTCCTTCTTCAGCAGAGCATCTGGTGGATTTGAACCACGCACCTCTGGGATTGCAGTGCAGTTTCTTGCCACTAGGCCACCAGAGCTCGCCCATTCCTGATTCTTTGAAGCTGTATACATACAGTAACAAAATGTAACATCATATTTACATAATTCTGGGTCCATCATCAATTTTGATGAAGTACTTGTATTATTATCACTTTCAAAAATCATCATATGTTTCTATTTTGTCTCATAAGAAACTACAATCACAACTAGACTCTTGAGAATATTTCCTCTCAGATATACCATGGACTGCCAAGAAAAACAAGTAAGTCTATCTTGGAGAGGGTGAAACCAAATTTCTCCTTGGAGGATAGGATTTTGAAGCTCCATTTCACATACTTTGGGCACATGGCTAGGAGGGATTGGTCCTTGGAGAAGACATCATGCTCAGGATGGTGGAGGGAAGGTGCAGGAGAGGAAGATCCCAGATAAGATGGATACAGTAACTGGGGCAATGGGAATAGGTGTGCTGGAATTAGTGAGACTGGCTCAGGATGGGGCAGGGTTCAGAGCTGCTATACAGAGTGTCGCTATGGATTGCAGGTGACTAGAAGGCATAAAACAACTGAATGGATGATATATCAACTCTTATTTGATAATCATCAATGCTGCAAGCTGACATTGATAAATCATTAATATTTAAAACTTACCACAGCCTTGGGTTTGGTTCCAGAGTTGTGTGCTTGGATAGAAGATAGCAGAGTAGTGGACTCCGTGATAGAAGGCGCATTTATTTGTGTATGATTTTCTGAAATGGTATCTGGTCCACTTTCAGATCCTGATTCCAGATCCTATTTAAAAAAAAACCAGTTTGATGTAAAGGGCACGTCAGTGTTACCTACACTAGCCCCTTCCCCTGACACTAGCACCGGGCCCCCTCAGTCTTACCCCAACATACACTGAACCACCAAACAGCCACTGACAACGACATAAACATGTCACTCTTAATTGTGCATTAATACCTCCTGCTCCATGCACTCCCCCAATCCACTGTTGTGTTTATTCTGACTCATGATGACCTTTCACCTGGGTTTCTGAAGCTGCCAGTCTTTCGCTTTCAGAATTACACTGACCTTTTGATTAGCAACTCACTCCTACTCACACTGTGGTTTAAAAATTGTACTTTACAGAAGTTTTTCTTTAAGATGAAGCTACTCGAAAACAACAAATGATCTTGAGACTTGGTCAAGTGATAAGGAGTTGTGCTGTCAACCCAAAGCGCACAGTTCAAAACCACCAGCTGCTCTATTGGAGAAAGATGGGCAGTCTATTCCATGCGATTTACTGCCCCTAAAAAATCTGCTGGAGGGTCAGCCATGGATAGGTTCTGGCTCAAAGATACATAACAAGAATGACAACATTATGAACTACAAAGGGTAGTGATACAGGTAGCTAGGCAATGAAGTAAGAGTCAGAAGGCAGAATGCTAGAGACTTCTTTTGATTCATTCCTGTGTGACCTTGAACAGCCCACCTAGCATCATCAGGCAATATAGTGCCACCCTGATGGGAAATTGTTAAAATTAGTCCCTGCATACCACAGAGGAAGGAATCCTTGGAGAAGCTCAATGTCAGCAGTCAAAACAAGGCCAGCTGCTGACTGTGAAATGACCATCAATCACTCATGTACAGGTTTACACTGAGGCTAAAAAAATGAAAACAAGTCCACAAGAACCAAAGGTGGGATGACATTGAGTCTATACCACCTGGATTTAAAGAGAATCTTAATAGCTGTGAGGCACTGAGTACCAGATGAGTTGTGGGATGGCATCAAGGATATCATCATGAAGAAAGCTAATGGTTATTACAAAGACAGAAGAGAAAGAAGAAACCAAATGGATGTCAGAGGATTCACTGAAAATTGTACCACAGCAATGAGAAGTCAAAACAAAGGGAAGAGATGCTCAAGTAAAAGAGCTCAACAGAAGATTTCAAAAGGCAGCTTGAGGAGACAAAACAAATACATACATTATTTAGACAAAACAGAAAATGTAGAGAGGTGGAACTGGAGAATAGAAAAGAAAGAGCTGGCTCAGCATTTTTCAAACGAAAAGACCTGAAAAACAAATTTAGATCTTGAGTTGCAATTCTGAGTGATGTGATGGGTAAAATCTTGAATGATCTAGGAAGCATTAAAATAAGATGGAGGGAATACAGAGTCACTGTACCAAAAAAGAAATAAGCAACACAGAAATATTTATGAAAGTATCGTGCTAATGCGAAACCTATACTTGGACCAAGAGGCAGTAGTCAGAAGAGAGCAGGGCAACACTGCATGGTTCAAAATTGGGAAGGGTGTACGCCAGGGATGTGTCCTATCTCCATACCTTTTCAACCTGTATTCAGAGCAGATTAT